GGGAGGGGGGGGATGATGTTCTCTTCTCCTTCTACTTCTCTTCAGTGTCAAAATTTGCCCTTTCTAGCTACAGGTGAAGTGTGGATGGTTGACGGGCGCCCTGGTGGGGTTTGCTCTTTTCCTGTCAAACATCTATCTTCCTTTCCTTCTTCTTTTCTTTTTGTGTTATTCTATTGTAACACTTCTAATTTCCACATATGACCTAATTGTGTTGCAAGATCCATATACCTCGTACTAAAGCTCAAACAAAACGTTATGGTAATAAATAACTTGGCAAAATCAATCACCAGGGCCTGATGACAAGAATACTGTACCGACTGGTTGACTGGTATGACAGGGTCTACTACTACTGCACGAGGTGAGGAATTGTGGAATTATAGGTGGAAAACACCCCTTGTCCCTCTTGTTTCCCCTCCCCCCCCTCCCCCCTCTACTCTTCTCCCCCTCTACTCTTCTCCCGCACCCTCCCATTTCCTTCTCCCTCCCCTGTCTCCTATAAGCAAAATTTTGCAAAGGAATGAAAACAGTTTGCTGACGTTTTATAATAATAATATAATAATAATAATTGCATTTATACAGCGCATATCCATGCTCAAGAGCTTGCTCTATGCGCTTTACAAGTATTATTACCCCAGCAGACCCTCTGAGAACACTTAGAAACTTTCTCGGCTTCCCCGGAAGCATACAGTGCAAGCTGCAGATTTCATGCGCTCAAACACTATCAAACTGACAAGATCGTTCACAGTCTATAGCCGGGTACCCATTTCCACCTGGGTGAAGTGAGGCACGACCTTACTGTTGTGAGTCCGAGAGCCTCACCGATGCCACGTTTTATATATTTTCTAACTTCTTTTGGCAAATACTTGACATTAAATGATAATAATAAGAGACTGCATTTGTATAGTACTCTATCCGGTACAAGTAAAGGCTCCGAGCAATTTACATCAGTGACATGATTACCGAGGGTAAACCTCACCCACAATAAAATATTTGATATATGTACACGAAAACCAGTTCAACTCCATAAGGAAGAATTTTGTCAGTCATACTGTAATTACATACACCTGATTCATCAGCACATGCTAACACACTCCAACTAAGATTTAACGAAAGAGTCTTAAAAACAATCGTTTAGTCATGTGAATTATTTAATTGTAGGTTCAGTTGTGGATGAAGTTTGTACCTGAGTAAATGTGCAACGGATTTTCTGTCTTCTAGCTACGACGGCATGACTTTGCTGACAGCGTTGGCGGCCATCTCGTTTATCGGCCTCCTCACGTTGAGCATGAAGAAGCTGGCGGCCGACGAGATGGAGCAGCTGAAGAAGGACAAAATGGCCAGGAAAGCCCAGAAGAGACCTCCGTCGTGGTGAGTGGTCTACCTTGATGTTTGTACTAGCTGGGTACCCCGTTCGATGAATGGACCAAAAGAATTGATCGTCAAGTCATTGTGGATAAGTACACACTGCTTGTGAACGGAAGCCTCTCCTGTTTACAATGGTGTCTTAGAAGACGGACTTTCCCAAGATTAGATCCAAACGAAACTAATGAAAAACTGAAAATTAAACTACAGTGAATTCAGACTCCTTTATATAACTGTGCACCCTTTAAATGATTCTGAACCTTCGTAATTTTTTTCAAATTCGAAAGTTTAGTCGTTCGGAAGTTTTAGACGACCAAAGTGACGAACCTTCACAAATATAATATATATAGATGAACATAGGTTAGATAAATGACCTTATGCAGTTGCAAGCGCCGTAAAACTCCAACAAAAACTAAAAAAAGTTAGATACATAGATATTGTTGTTGTTATTGATAAAGCCACAGCTTGGCTCTCACCCCTCTGTCCAATGCCATGTAGTGATAAGTGCAGGTTGGTGGGTGCTCTGGTTTGGTTTGCTCTTTCTTTCCTATCAAACATCTATCGTCCTTATTCCTCCTTCTTCTTTTTTGGGTACGTTACTCTCTTGTTACACAACCATTCTTCTGCACTTATATGACCTTATTGTGTTGCAAGTGCCGTAAAGTTCTTACTAAATCTAAATCTAAGTGCAGGTTTGCAGTGGTTGCTGTCATGTGCCACAGAGTGTGCTGTAAAATAAATCAATATACCAACACTTGATTGATCCCACAGGAAATTTTGATTACAATTACAAACATACATATTTGTATACACATTTAAAAACACTAATTACCTGTGCTTCCACTCTTCCGTATTTTTACGGAAATCCGTACTTTCTGCCATTTCCGTACTTTTTCCTCCATCATTATCAACTCCCTCCGTAAAAATTTGGGGCCTGTGCCCCAGACCCCCGGCAGAATTTTCCTTACTATTCTCAGCTTCAGCTGGTAGAAGCACTGAATTACATACGAAAAAATTACAAGATTCACAATGTAACACCAATGCAGACAATTTTACAAACATGCCATTGCTGGTGACCACTGTGCAGCGCCCTGTTTTTTTTAGCCAGGATTAGCGAGTCTTGTTCAAGGACACAATCCAGTGACCATCTCCATCTTCACCCCATGTCACCGACACTTGCTTGATATTGTTTACGTGTCTGAACTCACCAACCAATCGGCCTCTTAAGCCCCCTACTGGGGTATTCTTTTTTAGGACTAAATTATGTTACAAATAAATACAGTAAAACACATGTTTTTCTTTACTTTTCTTTCTTTCTTTTTTTTGCAACCCCGTTCACAATGTATCATGCATACTATCCTCAGTTCGGCGGACAACCAGACCATCCATCTGTACGAGCTGCGCTACGACACCTTCCAGAACCTGGTAGCCGAGGCGGACACTGGCTTGACCGTCACTCTGCTGGTGGACGAGCACTCCAAGACCAAGCTGATGAGGAAGTTTGCCGAGATCATGCAGCCGTTTTCAAGGTCAGTGGCCGCTTCAGAACTAACTAATAGTGCTAACCTGTAAACCTCCCCCCCCCTCCCGAATATTTACGTCAAACTGTCAGGATATGAAATTGAATGTTTTACTTTAAACAAAAAAAAATAAATTTTTCGGCTGCCCAGTGTAAGACTCTGTCGTGCGCCTCTTTTCAAAATGGCGTGTGGTGGAGCTCGAAACAGTTGATTTGTTCCATCGTAACTCGTGGATGAAAGCTACTTCCTTTCCTCCCCCTCCCTCAGAGATTCCATCTTAGGCCTTCTCGTGTCACATTGTGGACTGTCTTTCTAAGCGTGTGCCCCAAATCCAACGCCGTCTTCTTCTCTTGAATTTCCTCTCACTTTGTCTTCTAAGTTGGCCACCTTATAAACAATAATGAACTAAATTGTGTTCAGAACAAGTGATTATCTTCGGACTTTGAACACAGCACACAAGACTCATACAGCACATGTACATATATTTTAAACCACTACAATCACCACAAAGCCAGCATGGAGAAGCGGACCAAACTGTGGAACACATCCTCCAGCAGTGCAGGACACATGTGGCCCTGAGATAGGAAAATTGGCCAACCCATTTGACACTGCAGGAGAAGCTATACAGGTTGACAGAAGAACTTAACAGAACGGCCCAGTACATGATAGATACTGTACTTTAAGGGTGGAGAAGGAGAAGGAGAAGGAGAAGGAGAAGGAGAAGGAGAAGGAGAAGGAGAAGAAGAAGAAGAAGAAGAAGAAGAAGAAGAAGAAGAAGAAGAAGAAGAAGAGGAGGAGAATGAGGAGGAGAACTAAATCTAACTTCCTTTCATGTTCTCTGTGCTTCCAGGTACAGTGCTCTGACCTTCGCCTTCCTGCAGCTAGAGTACTACCTGGACTGGTACCGTCACCTTCTGGAGCTGACGATGGACTTCAAGGTGACCTTGGAGAACATCAACAACCGCAACTGCATCGGCAGCGTGCTGGCCATCAACGGCTACCGCAAATGCTACTACATCTATCACCCGAAGAGGGCTCGAAGGTAAGTGCTATTTTGGATGAAAATCTTTCAGTCACTCTATGTGCCTCGGGGGAGGGGGGGGGGGCTACCATAGGGGACAAAAGCTAGGGAAACAAATTGATTAAATAATCAAATAGTAACAAATAAGTCAAATGGTTGTGACTCATAAGATCATTACCTTGGCACTCGAAAAATAAACACAGGACAAAAAATAAATGTCCTTCTAGATATAGATCTATACGAGTACAGACCGAAGGGCTAGAACCCAAATGGCCGCTGGATCGGAAAAGTAAAGTAAGTAAAGTATCTGTACAAGTATGGCCTGGCCAAGAAATTATGTTGCCTGTTTCTGTGTGTGTTTCTTGCTTTTTTCCCTTGTACAAGGGGACTGTTATTGTCTTGTTTGTACTGTTGAAATTGTCTAAGATAGCCACCCCCCCCCCTCCCATTGTCGAGGAGAAAAGTGGTTATCTTAGACAGATGGACATCTTAGTGTTGTATAATGTAAGAAACATAGAAGGGAGAAAATGGAAAGTAGAAGTGGCCATTTGCACGGGTGATTGTTTGATGCAGGATTGACTGTTTCTCTGTCTTTCTGCTGGGATGTTGTATCCCTCTCAGTCCAGGTTGGCCCTGACAGGCAGGGTCAGAAGCCCGGCTCCTAAATGTTCTAAATTTTGTTGATGAGGGCGTAGAAACACTCACATGTTTTAAGTATTAAAATTTTTTTTTTTTCCCCCTATCCGTACGTCGTGTTTTACTATCGTATCCATACGACGTGGGGAACTCTGTGCCACCACTTTCCAAGGCGGAAATTTACTCGTTAATCTGATCCGTATGCTTTGCTTAGCAGTCTGTCAAAATGATTTTTTTGAGAAATACTGAAAGTTTCAAAGAGATCTTCGTACTAGAAGTATTTTAAAATGTGAAGAAAACAACGACGGGTGTACAAAACTAGCCTAATTTTTTTTTCTAGGTGGATGAGGAAGGAGCACGGCAAGAACATCACCAAGGCCGTGGGGTTCGGAGACTCTGACTCTGACAGCGCCAGCGATGGCGGAACGCGGGAGGAAAACGTTTTGTTTGAGGAAGAGCTCCTGGCCGGATTGTCCATCTGGATGGATCGGGTCTTTGATGGCTCGGTGAAGAAAGTCCGACTTCCGTACTGGCCGGAGATGAGCAAATGAGAGTGGCAGGGAGGAGGAACGCCTTGGCACTTATAGTAGGACCTGTTTGTGTTGCGAATGCCGTAAAACTTTTACGGAAACTAAAAGAAAGGAGAGCTTGGACAGAGATCTGTGTTGTTTCTGTGATTTTTTTTTACGCTACTTTTTTTTCTTCTTCTTCGGCTGACTGTCGATATTAATGATGACTTAAACAACACGCAGGGCACAGCTCTGTTTGGGCGGTAGACACAGATAAGATAAGATAAGATAAGATAATACTTTATTATCCCAGAGGGAAATTTTTCTTGGCTGTACAGGACCGTAAAGAAAAATTTCCCCTGTGGGATAAAAAAGTATTATCTTATCTTTTCTTATCTTATCTCATTTTATCTTATCTTATCTTATCTGTCTACCACCAGAGGAAGTAGGTTGCCCAAGTACTACTTCCCTCCCTCTAGATCTCGACTTCCTTGATACACTCCAAAGGAGAGATATGGTCAATGCTTTTGAATGAAGGAAGGTGTGGGGAAGGAGAGATATGGTCAGTGCTTTTGGAATGAAGGAAGGTGTTAGTGAAGGAGAGATATGGTCAATGCTTTTGGAATAAAGGAAGGTGTTAGGGAAGGAGAGATATGGTCAATGCTTTTGGAATGAAGGAAGGTGTGAGGGAAGGAGAGATATGGTCAATGCTTTTGGAATGAAGGAAGGTGTGAGGGAGTGTGTATCTGAGCAAGTACCATGTGAACACTGTTTTCACATATATTATCGATTGATATGGATTTTAAAAAATAAAAGGATAGGAATGTCCATTTAATTATTTGATGGCTGTGTGAGAAAAGTCAGCCTTTGTACTAGAGAATGGGGTGTCCTTTTAATGATGAATAAGGGGATGAAGAAGATAGGTCCATATTATGTTTATACAAGGATAGGGGTTCCCATTTAGGTATTTGATAGCACTGGCATGTACAAAATCCAAATCATCCATATCATTGGCCAGTGGTTCAGATGTATGAGTGCTGACTGTCAATGCATTTAGATAGATAGGGTTTTTGATAATTTATTATGATGTATGATTATATGACAGCAACTGTGGAGAAGCAGTTGGGTGCTTCGCTGTCACGTGCACTAGACCCAAGTTCGATTCCCGAGTAGGGAGAATTTTTAACGAGTATCTCGGTCTTTCTGCTGGGATGTTGTATCTCTCTCTCGTCCCGGGTTGGTTCTGATAGTCAGGGTTGAAGGCCTGTCTTCCTGCCTTCGAAATGATCTAAATCATGTCAATAGGGGTTTGAACAAATATCATTAATTCATACTGACTTCTGCGAGGAGATGTTAATCAAAATGACGCTAGACCGAATTTGCCACTTGTGTTCATTTTTTGTACTATTGCACGGAATATTCTTGAAGTTTGAAAAAATTTTTTGATGAATAATCGTTGCTTTTTCTCGTCAGTGTTGTTGCTAAGACAATGTCATGGATTTTGATTTTATGATATTTCTCTCTTAGTCTGAATGTCAGATGTAACGGTTCATTTCTTGCTTTTTCTTATGGGAAAGAGAGCATAAGAATGTTTATCAGGTCTTAGATATAAAAAGATGATGCTTGGGATAAATGATTTTGGTATGTCTGTCAAAAGCTTTATTTTCTTGAATCAGTATGCTGCAGGACATTTTTAAGATGTATGAAGGGCAATCCAGAATGCTTCAATACGGTTCTCCGAAGAGTATTGCATTCCTTCATAATATTATGTCAATTGTAATATTTTAAACATTATTTAGTGATCTTTGTATCCAAGCAATTGCGCGATCGCTAGGTGTGAGTAGCAACACAAGGCAAGTCCTAAGCTGGAATCCGTCTGGGAAAAGGAAGTAAGGCCGACCAAAGAATGTATAGAGGTTGAGGGCATACGTTGGGACAGCTGGTGAAACTGCTTGAGGATTGGGATTTGTGCAGAGCTCTTGTTGGCGGCCGTTGTCCCAGAGGGACCTCGGGCCTAAGTAAGAAAAAAAGGTGCAAGTCCTACCGCCACTGAATAGGTGTGCGTATGGCCTGCCTGTGAGGCCATGATGTCATCACTGTATGTGTCCTGATGCACACTGCAGACAGGAAGCCTCGTGGTGGCCGAGCGACCATAGAAAAGACGTTACCCTTTCCTACCCTGCAGCCTGTAATATGAGGTGTCGACAGGTTCATATCGCCGGCTAGCTACTCCGATGTACCAAGCCCAAGATTTTAAATGAAAAAAAAAAGAAAAAATTGCAGTTTCTTAATCTATGGTATTGGTTGCATGTTCTTGAGAAATATTTTGTTTAAATTCAAATTCTAAATCTTGAATAAAGCCAGAAAAGATACTTAATTAAGGTTCAATTTTTGAAAGAATGAAATAGTTTTTTCTCTCCCCTGACCAATTTTGCTTTCTGGGCTTAAGACGTTTGAACAGCTTGCTGAGGATATGCTGACTGCTGGAAAAGCGTTCATGCATGACACAGTATTTTTATTGTGTGCAATACTTGTATACCGTACCTGTGATTTCATATAAGTTATTCTTAGTACATAATCTGGTTGTACATGTGAAACAAGGTGTGTATTTATATAGATTCCACTTTTCAGCTGAGAATGTTTTATTTCATTGGTGTACAACTCTAACCATGACAGTCAAACACTTTATTCTTTCAAATTCACAACAGTAATTGCATTGGATGATAGTATAATAAAAAAAACCTCGAAACAATCTACACAAATTTTGGGCAAATCTGTTTGAAAATAAAGAAATTACATTTTTCCCCCGAAAAAGTGTTTCATCTAATTTAGCAGATGTATGGTTAAAGTCGCACACTGATGTTATGATTAGTTTTCTGCATAAGTATGTGTGTCCTTTTATTAAGTGTGATGGTGATGATGATATTTGTTTTGTTTTTTTGGTGTGCAATCTTTAGTGTTTTTGGTAAACTTCGGTGATACCTCAGTGTATGTGTCTTATCACGCTTGCTTCCACATTTCTCGGTGTGTAATGTAAATCTGACACGTCATCTCATTCATGAAGAGTTGGACAAAGTTGCTCTTTTATAATGAATCTATTTTCTTTTAAACTTCTTTTATTTTGGCGAAGCTATATATGAAGATATAGTCGAAATTGCTCAAGACGGCCACTCGTTGTCGAGGAGAAAACTGGTTGTCTTAGACAGGTGGATGGATGTCTTGGTCAGTGTCATTGGACTCAGATGTTTTTTTTCTCTCCTACTTCTATTTTTTGGGAGGATTTTGAGGAAAACTCCTATTTGGTTGCTCTTAAGCTCAAGTGGGCTATCCCGAAAACTGCTGTTTTGAGAAAATTGAAGGTAAAGTTTTTCACCATTGTTCAGTTTCCTTAAAAGACCAGGAGGGTTTTCTCCATAACCAAACAAATCTACACACCAATGAAACCAAACCTCCTATAGGTAGGGTAATGCCCACTTTTGGTGTAGGTCAAGATTTCTGGAAACCCCCGAAATCTGGGTTAGCCCACTTGTCCTTAAAAGTGACCATTTTTGGTCATGGAGTAGGTGGCAGGTCTGTAGCACTATTTTTCGAAATGTGCTTCTCTTTCACAGTTTTGAACAAAATCTTGTCTTATAATGTCATGACATATTTTTCCAGACATAGGGTTTTTTATTTTTGAGTTCTCACCTGCTTTTAAGTGTTTGAAAACTTGAGGAGGGTGGTTGGTGGGTGCTCTGGTGTGGTTTGCTCCCTTTTCCCAATCAAACATCTATCATCATTATTTCTCCTCCCCCTTTTCGTAGTATGTTGCTGTTTAGTTACACTGTAATCTTTGACACTTATATAACCTATTTGTCTGAAAAGAAACTGAACTAGAAATAGTAGGATGGTTTATTTTTAGGATCTCACCTTCTTTTAAGCAGTTGAAAACTGAAGAGATGGTTGCCCATTGTTGTACTTATTATGTCATGTCAGCGGCTCATGCCCTTAGAAAGGCCGGGTTCTATCGTAACTTCTCCACGTTTTTGTGAGAACTGAGTAACACACTACACGTTACTGACACAGATGTCTTGCTCACTGTGTCAAAGCTTGAGACAATCTGACCCGTGTTTTTTTAGTTTGACATCTAACAATATAGTAGAACATGACTATAGTGTACAGCGGGACGTTCCCTACAGCGGGACCTTTCGGAACCCCCCCCTTTTTTCTCTATGTAAACTCAATTACCTGTGCTCGGGTTTAACGGGGCAAGGAAAGGCCCGAACTCTGATACAGCGGGAGAGATCGAGCTAGCTCTAGCTGGGAGAAGGGGGTGGGGGGCTGTAGGTGGGCTCCAAACAAGCAGTCAGCAGTGCGGCGTTGTGATTGGCCAGTCCAGTGATCAATGAGGTAGAGCAAGCAGCAGAGAGAGATGGTGCGGAGAGACGTGAGCTGCTCAAAAAGTGGTGTGGCGTAGCCCTAGGCCTAGATCTAGGATAGGCCAAAAAGACTGTAAAAGAAGAGGAGAGCGCGTAGTGTGTGATTTTTCGGTAATTCCCCTTTTCATGCCTATAACGGGAACTTGCGTACAGCGGGACTTTTCTTCTGGAACTAGAAGTCCCACTAGGCCTATAGCCATGTTTTACTATATTCTGTAGAAGTAAAAGCATTTAATTAAGCTGTAAGAGTGTTAATCTGTGAATCTCATTTTCTGAAATCTACGTGTCATGATGTTGGTGTTTGAACCCTGTCAATCAAAGGACACAGACTGTGCTAGCAATGTTTTTCCTTCACTTTGCGACACTTTCATACCTTACTAGCCCTTCCGTACCTTGTCAATTATGTTGTAAGCTGTATAACTGAATAAAATGAATATGTTTTGAGCTTTTCTTGAAATCTCTTTTTGTGTTTCCGTTAGATATGGTCCTATTTTTCAAGGGTTTTGTTTTTTCCTTACTTTTTGCCTATGTTTTGTGTTTACTGACTTTAAAAGTACAAAATATTGTGGTAATGACTGGCAGGCTTTTCCCTCGACTGTCTTTTGATTTTGGGTGAATTTGTTTTTACTTTAAACTTTTACCTGCCAAATGATTGTACAAGAAATTTCAAATGATTGTTGTTTGATGGATTATGATTTTTATACTTTTCTCAGTTGTGACAGGCATGGAATATTTTAGCATCCTTTTAGACTCCTTGAACGTTTATGTAAAATAAAGAGCTGACCGGTGAGTGTGGCCATGTCTTGACATGACTTCTGAAGTCTCCCGATGTTTCTGCAGACACATGTATCTGAGCAGCATCGGAAAATGTAAAAAAAAATGCTCCCATTGATCTGTGAGTGCTCCGGTGTGGTTTGCTCCTTCT